AAGTTACAGATGTATTTGCTTTCTGGGTAATTGCATCCTCTTGGAGTTTATGAGCCATAAATGCCACTATAACATGGCTAATTAAAGTCTAAAGTGCCCATAATTAATAAATCTACCTTTCCTTAGAAACCTTGTCTCACATACCTATAGCAGATTCTTAATAACTTTTGTCTATATTAATCCACTTACCATCCTTGCTAGTATGAAATACCATTATAGAAAAAGAAGTTAGATTTTACTATTCTTGCTACACTAAACCTCTGTATGGTTTATCTATGACTGTGGACAAAAGTTTCCATCTTATCCTTGCTGATTATATTCCCTCAGGCTCACAAACTGTCTTCTGTTTCCAGTCAGTGCAATTATTTAAGTTATCCTCTTGTTAATGAGACTGGGAGTGAACACGCTGTTCAGATGCTGTCTCCTGGGGCTCATCCTGTACTTTTGCAGTCTGTCTTAGGCCTACCTGGCTGGATAATGAGGGAGGGATGAGTAAGACAGATCACTTGTCTGAAATGGGAAACCATCTCAAGCCAAAGCAGAGCCATTTCAGTCAGACTTAGATCTTTCAGAATGCTTCTTTCCAATCAAAGTAACACCTTATTTGAAGATAAACAATACATTTAATTTATAGTAAACTGAATTCCCAATTAAAATGTTATTTCAGTAAATGAAACATCTTAATTTTAATGAAGTATCTTAGATTTTCCTAGCTGCTTCATTTAACTTCTTGTTTCATATAAGTTATTTAAAGACTAACAGGTGTGGAAAAAGTGAAGTGGTAAGCTTTTTCCTTTCCTAAGAGAAAATGAGCAAGATAGGTCCATGCAATCAAGAAATACTCTGAAACTATGTCTAAACTGAGACACATAGGACCAGCTTCAGATTCCAAGCCTGACTGTGTCCTGAGATTATACCAGGCATCTATTCAAGGGACATAGGTCTACCAGTGCATCTCCTTCCTGCATGCCATGTTGTCAGTGGGAAAAACAGAAAGGAATCACAACATATTCCAGACTCATCCTTGATATGGAGAAACTGGAGCTGTGACTCCAGGACATGCTGATATTCACGCATACTGTGATTTAGATGTGTCCTTAACTTACCCGAGTGGTGGTTTCTTAATTTCTCCCCTGGCAAACTAGATGCCAAAGGTCCATTTGACCTGAGAAGGAGCTTTCTCTCCATCTGTGTAGGTAGGCTCACTCACAAGGATAGCTCTCTCTGGCAGTGTACAATGGCTGTCTTTGGCCAGGTCTTCTAAGCCCATTAAGCAGCAGTTACATAAGGTAGGAAGAAAGCATTTGTACCACCTTAAATTTACAGGAGATATAAATAATCTTGGATACTGCAGAAACACTGCATCCCTGTCAGCCCCCCCCTCCACCCTGGAAGGGACAGCAGCCCATGGAAGACCTGTGACAGAGCAGAGGAAAAGATCAAAATGGAAGGAAGAGCAGAGAGAAACCACTACATCCTGACCATAACATCCTCCCCACTCCACACTGCTTCACTGGCTTCCTTGCTGAAGGGACTGAGTGTAACTGGTGGTGGTAATAAGGAGAGGAGTCTGGAGTGAAGTTGATCCTGGGAAAGAGGAGGGAGAAAGGTCTCTTCCCTATGTATGTTAATGTTTGTCTTTTTTCTTCATATATTACCAATTAAATATATGTAACTTGGCAGTAAATTAAATTCATTTTCCCCAGGTAGTCTGGTTTTCCCACAATGGCAATTGGTAAATGGTCCCCTTGTCTTCAGCTCAACCCCCAACCTTTCTCTTTCCTTCTCCTTTTTCCTTGCATCCTGCTGAGGGAGTTCTGCTTCTGGCTGGGGAGAACCCATCTCATACAGCAGAGAAGCTGGGACAATGCCTGCAAGCAACATCTGGTTTTATAGGAGGGAAAACATTGAAGGTGGGTGATGAAAGTGAAAATTATGATATCTCAGTCCTACATTGCGTTCTCAATTACACTCCAGTTTTGCACTGAAATAAATGAAATTACCCCATGTTAACAGAGCTAATCTGAAGGAAGCATATGGCCTCAGGTTCTCAACATAGAGCAAATAAAGAGCTATTACTTAAGCTATGCTATGGGGCCTATGCACTCTCTCCCACTTGACTTGAGCAACAACAGTCCCAGTAAGCATATATAATTGGATCACGTTCAAATACAGAATTATGCTGTATAATGATTTCTGTATAAACACTAATTATTTCTAACCAACAGGTGTAGGCATGATAATAACCTTTGAAATTGCTGGATTTAGTGAATTCTGAAGGTTGACTTGCAAATGGAACTGATCAGTTAAAAAAAACAGACTGCAGAGAAAGCACTGCTTCACTGAATGATCAAGTTATATTCTTTCTACTGAGACAAAAGGGACAGGCTGTAACTTTAGTCCCTAAAATCCTTTCCTCCCTTATTCTAGGTTTCTAATCTAACAGCTTTTTCCCCTGCAATTAAAACAGACCACATCTTATAAAATTCATCCTCTTATTCGTACACATGGTCTACTTCTGTGTCTGACGATGTTGGTATGCCTGAGGGTTTCCTGGCAAAAAAGCCCACATTTTGCTGGTGCTCATGTGTCGAACCTATACATATTCTGGGTAGCACTTGATAGCAGAGCAAGTACAGGAGTCATGCAAGACTTGGCCCATATAAAACTCAACTTGTGCAATCAACTATTCAGATTGCAGAAGTTCTGAGGAGAGAAAATCTAATATTTCACTGGCAAGAGATGGTAGTTCAGCTTCTAGGGTCCCATGATTTTTTGTGCGAAGATGAGTCTGGGCATGTCCATAGGCCCCTGGCTGACCTGGGGAAAAGAGCCTTCGTAACCCCATATGCTTTTTTTTTTTTCCACTTCCTGTGGCATTTGTCTATGCATCCAGGCTCCCTTCTCAGTGCAGTCCCATTTATAGCAGGCAGCTTTAACTTGCCAGTATCGTAGATTCTTTCCTTCACTGCTTTATGTAGCTGGACCAGGTGTTTTAAATGACTTTTGAAACTCAGCAGCAAAGCCCTGGATGTTCTCTCTGGTTCTTTGGTAGATGTCTGCCTCAGGGGTAGGATTTTATTCCCCAGTGTGTTCCCAGTTCACTTTGGATTGCAAAGGGCCTGAAGATGGCAGGGCTAGGTTAGTACAAATTTGGCTTCCCACATGTCACTACCAATCACGATGTTCAATTTTGCTCCTGCTCTTAGAATGTGCGATCCAAGCCTGCATGTTAACTGCTATCTTGCTGACATCCTAAAGAATATTATAGAGCACAGGTTTTCTATTGCTGAAATAAAGGCTCAGTGATAGCTCTCCTACAGTGCTATGAATAGCTGTGAATACTCTTAGGGACACACTTCAAGAGAAGGTATCAGCCAGTGCTACACCCTGGGCTAAATGCAGCTCCTTTGTGGTGTCACTTTAATAATAAGCAAACACATGAAAATAATTATTAGAATTATTAGAAACAGAAAAAAATGTGGTATCCAGATCCATGAGTTGATATGAAAAGACACTGCTGAGAAGAACCATCTTGCCTCTTTCAAAAACATCAGCTTGTCTTAATTTCAGAATTTACCTGGACATGGGATCTGAAGCAATGTGTGTGTGAAAAAAGGCAGGAAGCACAGAGGAGGGTTACTGCAGCTGAGTGCGCAGCAAGGCGAAGGGGGTAGGGTCCTGTGCATCTCTATGTTTTATTTTTGATGCTTTTGGTTTCTCAAAGTTTGGTCAGCTATGCTAGACAGTCTTTGTGCTGTGTTAAGGGTGAGAAGAGGAGACAGAGGACAATCAGGGAATACTCCTAGAGATGAGATACTTCACAGAAATTCATGCACAACCAAATTCAGCATAGCTGCAACCCAGTCAGAGGGCTGTATAAGAAAGAACTGGAGAGGAGGCACTGGCAGTAGAAATATGCAAGGAACAGGAGACTGCCCAAAGCCATTCCAGGGTCCTTTGAGACACTCTTGGAGATTGCCTAGAGGATACCATTCTAGAACGTCATATGCACCTCAATAATCCTGTGTCATATCCAAAAACTCTATGTGCAAATGTGTAGACAGCTGAATTCAGCTCCAAAGCTTCCTGAAGTAGGAAGGCAAAGACTGAGGAAAAGAAAGAGTGAAAGAGCAATTGGTGGAATAGGAAGGAAGAAGCAGTTGCATCAGGTTTGCAATACTTTGTTGGTTTGTTACCTGAAGTGCAGGAAGGTACTGCATGTGGTTTTATAATAGTGAACTCAGACTTCTACGTGTGCTTCATGTGTATATGCAAATTATATACACCATTACCTGCTAAATAGCTCAAAAACATTTGCAGTCCTATTTGAGCAGTCTAATGAGTATGCAAGTGTGCATGAAAGTGATGGGATGTACTTCTCCATATTTCACAGGTGGAATGACTTTCTCCAGTCCCAGATTTCATAAGACTTTCACTCACCTAAGCAATGTCTGGCTTCTGCCCTGCTACTGATATAATGGTTTTGGGGATTTAGTCCTAATTTTTGGAAAATAATAAAATACCTCTGTCTAGCCTGAAGTTTAGTTATTTTGATCAAATCCTAATTCACAGCTAGGCTTTGGAGGCTGAGTAGAGCTTCTATCAGCAAATACTACCATCTCTGAAGTACTTCAGGCTATGTATAGGGCCTATAAATGCTTCAAGTTCTCAGAGAGAGATTTTTTTTTTTTTAATTATTATAATTTATTTAGAACTCTCTCATATTTTGCAGCCTTCAGAAAGTATGAAAGTATGTTACATACTTTTGAAGTCTTTCTTCTAAAATATAGTTAGCATATAAAAAGCAACTAAATTATAAACAGTATGCACCCGTAACATTAACTAATTTTAAATGTAATCAGAATACTCCATGCAAGAAAGATATCATAAAGGAGCACATTTAAGGAATGAGAATCAGTCTGGAAATGGTATGTGAACCTTTTAGATTAAAAATAATTCTACTCACAAATGAGAAAGAAAATGCATACACTGCATACCAGGAATCAAACCTGGCCATGAACTGGTGGTATCTGACATTTCCATCTTCATCAAGGGGGATTCTGTCAAGTAGCAGCACAAATTCTTCATCAGTAATCTCCACACCAAACCTGAAACAAACAGCAGTTAGCAGCACTTGCTTGGGGAGTTCACATTTGGGTCAACAGTACCCACAATACCCGGAGCATATGGCTGCCATTAACTCTTTGTTACTGCTTCGGTCCTCAAGATCAAGAGCACCACGTGAATATCAGAGGTTAATCAGGGTTTTGATCGCTTCAGCTTTCTCAAAGAAAGAAATTCTACCCTAGAATCCCTGCATTGGTGGGGCACAGAAATAGAAATACTAGCATATTGAGTGGTGTGCAATTGTCCTCTATAAAAAGTTATTCATTACACTAAAACACTGGTATTGCTTAAACTAGTTAACTCTGAAAGGCTTTTCATTTGGACTGTTTAGCATGAAAGAAAATGTAGAGAAAAACTGTCTTTTCGGGGAAACAGACTCTTAATGCTTTTAGAAAGCATTTCATAATGGCTTTAAGGACATTTTGCATACAAATATTTAAAAGTGTCAGTGTTTATTCATCAGCAAGAAAGTGTTTTCACCTCCCCAGAACAATCAAAACATAATCCTTGAAATACTGACATAAACAGGAATGACTTAATAATAAAGAACAAGGCATTCATTCATCATTTGGCAAAGCTGATTAAACTCGGCTGACTTTTGGGGGGATATATTCCTTGGCAAGGCAATGAAAGTGTATACAAAGCATAATATTTATTTGTTGTTTTGGTTTCCTCCTCATGCTTTTCCATTTACATAACTCAAGAAACCTTTCTGTTAGAGTGGCCTTTGTCCTTAATTATTTTGGGGATTTTTGACTCAGAGTTTTGGAGCACAGAGAATGGCTCATTCTGTAGAATCCTTTACCCTGCTTTATCTCTGAGGAAGTCTGCTGAGGAGGGCAGATACAGCTGCTTTTGCATGTGCCCTCAGCTGACAGTATCTTATTTTACTGGCTTTCAGCTTCACATATCTACATTACTTTTCATTTAGACACGTGCATTCAGTGAAGCTTGAGTTCTGCCAAAACCACAAAGAAACAATGTAAACCTGTAGCATTTTCCCCCGCCTGTGAAGAATATAAAACCTAGCCTGGCTGGGGACTGCCAGCAAGAACAACATTTCAGGAATCCATATCTGTTCTGGGGCTAAACACTGTTGCAAGGGTCATTTGAAGACTAGCTCTCTGCATACGTGATAATGGACAACATCTATTTGCTTACCTGATCAGTTAAACAAAATCTCCTAATCCTTCTCTCCATCACTTGCACCAAAGGATGCCATCCCAGAACGGAGTTTGAGTTGTATATAAAGCATAAGCAGTGGGGAGTCAATGCTGAGAGCCAAAAAGTTATGTAATCTGGCCAACTTCTAGCTCTGCAACTAAACTAGATAGATTGTTTAGTCATTATATTACTTCTCTGTGTATAACCATGGTTACAAAGAAAGCTAAATGGGTTCCACGTAAAGTAACACAGGATCCAAAGGAAGGAAAAGAGCAGTACTTGCTGCAACATTTATGATTTTGTATAGCAAGCATATGTATCTGGGGTAAAGAAAACAGCTTTTAATATTCATCTTCACTATCTTCAAATAGGTGGGAGAGCAACAAAGCCACAAACTGTTTCAAAAGCAAAATGAAGCTTTTTGAACATAGTTCTGGAGTTAAGACAAAGAATTGTCTGGCAACTTCGTTTGCCTCTACAAGAATTTTGTAAAGCCTAGAAGGACACAGAAATTCACATATAGATCATTTCAGCACCTTTAGCTGCGAATAAATCATCTTTCAGTCAGTAATCGGAGAGTCTGCTCTGTGGGATCTGGCTTGTATTATTTTCCCCCTCCACACAGCAAAAGAAGAGTGCTCTGATTGCACCAGTATAAGCGTTTGTAAAAAAAAACACCCAAAACATAAACTATGATTTTTTTTGTTGTCAATCAAGAAGATTTTTTATGTAAAATGAGGGAGAAAAATCTTCACTTTCTGTGGTCACCAAATGGAAGAAAAAAACCCAAACCAACCAAAACCCTATAATAGGCAAATGAGTAAGGATTTTCTTGGTACTGAACCCAATCTGATCATGACTTGTTACTGAGAATACTTCTCATTCTATAGGTTCAGTGTAGCTCTGAATAACTGCTCATTTAATTTAACTTAAGGAGGCTGATATCTCATTACTGGCTGGTAGCCTGAGCTAAACAGTCAGTTCTCTAACATGGAACGAATCACAGCACCACAAAAATCACAATGAGAGCTTTGAATCATACTTCTTTAGTAAGAAGAATGTATCAGATTGCTCTCCATATCAAGCCACATGAAGAGACTGCTGACAAAAAAAGGGTTGTCTAAATTTAACGATCAAGAAAGTTACTGAACTGTCAACTGCCAAGATGGACTTATTTATACCCACGTGGATGAATTAACTCTCTTTCCTCTGTATAATTTCCCCCAGCATTAGCATATAACTGATGTGTGATAGCTGATCTGTGCAGCTGATCTCTGAAACCCCAGACATATACTTGACAGTGTATGAATTTATTTTATGAGAAAAACACCACCATGATTTAATGGGCTAAATAAATAATGTAATTTCTATATGGAGGGTGGGTCAGAATCATGCTCTCTTCAACACTTCACTGTTTTGACTTGAAACATTGCCAGTGACACACAACTTGCCCCTGAATGTGGCCAGGGAAAACAGCAGTCTGGAAAGAACCCAGTAATCTCTGGGTTCCACAGTCCCTCCTAGGAGATGTCGAAAGTCATTTCACTGTTGAAGGTCCCCAAGCTTCCGAAAATGCATCCAGGGAGATGGGAGCTGAAGGTCTGGTCTAAAAATACACCTGTATACATTTACTTTGTAGGTTGGTGAATCCTATTGGAATAGCTCGGGAATCAATACAAGGTTCTGGAGGGTTTCCTATCCCTGTCTTATGTCTTATCTGCAAGGTCAGAAAATACACAGACTAGTCCAAAGGAGTAAAACTGGGGGAAGGGAGGAACAAGGCTGCACCAACTTTGCATACTGACGTTTTCTCCATTATTAAAATTCCAAAGACCTATTTTACATTACTGATCTCAGGATTTCTGGAAACATGCTGTGACTACATTACATCCATCGTGCTCACTGGTGTGGAAACAGAAAAAGCATTGAATGCAGAGAGTGTACAGCCCATACCATTTGTTATCCCAAACACTGATATTATACCTTTCATTCTGAACTTCCCCTCAAGCTTTACAAACACTTCCATGATACACAAAAGCAGTAAACAGGAGGATCAAGTGCTCCAGCATGCAAATGCAGCCACCTGAAACTAAGCAATGATTTAATCAAACAGCAACAGCACACAACAGATGAATCACTGGGCTCTCCAGGGCACATTTTCAAAGGCAGGTGCAATGGGCAGGGCTTGAGGAAAAGATATCTATTAACTGGAGGGCTAAGCCTATTTAGAGAGAAGCTGATGCAAAACGCAAGGGACTGGTTAACAGCGAGGTTGAGAGAAAATGCTTTGGCAAGAAGCCCAGAACGCTGGCAAAGGGAGCACCTGCAAGAAGCCACATGTGATTTTTTTTGTACCAATACCTACATTTGCACATGCAAACTGGGAAATTATTATTTCCATTTTATCATACATTTAATATCTGTGATATCTCTAAATAAAGGCAGTTCTCACCTCTCAGATCTTAAATGAAAGAGTCAGAGATGAAGATAAGATACAATGGGAAATGTTGCAACTGTTTCAGTAGGTTACTGAAGTGTCTTTTAATCATCTATAAAAACACCACTCCTGGGTATCAAGTAAATAGCATGGTTTTAAGAGGTCATTAGTGGAAAAGAGAAGATGCATAAAGCCATCCTCTGCAAGAAGACCACTGGGAAAAAGCACAAAAAGCAGAGATGGAGAACTTAGAAAGGTGTCAGGACCAGCATGCTACAGGAGCAGAGATGGCAAGGCAGGTAAGACAGCAGACCAGGTCAGAGGGATAGGCAAGCCTTAAACCCTGAACCCTGTGCATTTGAAGCAAGAATGAAATATTTATAGTGATGTGATTATAAGGAGAAATACGTGGGAAGAATTTTCAAACAGGGCATGATATAGCCAGAAATACAAGCTAAGGGGATTGTTCCAGCAGTGTGACCTCAGATCTGTCCAAGGAACAAAGGCAAGGCAGAAGTACTTGAAATTGTTGAGAAATAGCAGGAAGTTGTGAGGTGCACAGCAATACAATTCCTGTGTGCAAACCTGTGCATGGAAATTTTGGTTTCTGCTGCCAGGCAAAGCATAAATTTGCTTATAAAACATGGCCTCTCTTCAGCACCTCTTGTGCATTTTCTAAGAGATAACCAGGCATCTCACCTGTGAAAGCAACATTAATGAATCAAAGAGCCACAAAGGAATTGGAAACAATCTTTTGGCAATTTTAAAGGAATCAGCAACAAGAAGTTGGGCAAGTACTTAAATATTTATGAAAAGAAAACTTAACAATGGACTTCACGGAATCTAAAATTATGTTTTATTGGCATAAGTAACAAGTTCTACTTCCTTCCAGAAAATCTTCCTTTTCACACCACCTAGGCAAACGGCAGCATAACACAACTAGTTTCCCATTTCATCACAGTTTCCCCAGTAAAGCATCAGCCAGAAGGATGCCCACTCCAGCAGCAAAGCAGGGCTTAACCCAGTTCTCTGGGCAGCAAGGTGCTCCTACAGCCTCAAGCTCTTCCAGTCTTTATTTTTATCCTGCTATTCAGACCCTGCTGGTAGGCAACAAACTGCCAGGGATACTGGATCATTTGCAAGCACAAGCAAGTCCATACTGTGTCCAAAATATGTTTGTTTTTGACAGCTAACAATGCACCATGTGGTACATGTACAGTATTTTGTTGAACTGACCAGTTCACTGTGTGTACTTCCCTTCTGTATCTTGCATTATTCCACTCCTTAGATACATAAACCCTATTGTTCAGCATGTCTAGATAGTTATATGACTTTTTGTCATGCCCTAGTACCTGTGCCCTTCACAAACTCATGGATTTT